TCCAAATACATGTCAAGTACATAAACGTTGGGCCCAAACTGGTGAGACATTGCTGCTTTGGTTAGGTCTATCATAAACCCTAACCCTTAACCCACCAATACCCTAAACCCTAAACCCTAAACCCTAACCCTTAAACCAATCCAACGCAGCATGGTTTGCAGATCGCAGAACATGATTTGGAAGCGGCGGCAGCCAGCTAGCTTGAAGCCGCAATGTGGGTTGAATTTGGGTTTAGGGTTTGGGGTGTAGGGTTGGTTGAATTTGGGTTTACCCTAACCCTGAAGGTATGTAAAATAATGGCCCTAAACCCATAGTAATAGTCATACAGGCCATTATTTCACATACTTCTGGGGTCCAGGTAGGGTTTAGGGTTTAGAGTTGGGTGTGGCTTGGATACCTTTACCGGAGTTCTTGTATGGGGAGCTCCAACCCTGCCTGAACCCCCGCAGTATGCAAACAAATTGCCCAAGCTTTAAAACGATAGTTGTCTATGCAGGGCTCCTTTTGGGTTCCATGTTAGTTCGAGGGGGGCTTACAACTCCCACGCTCCAAAACTGCTGGTGGTCCGAACCGGACTTTGAGTAAGAAACAGCATATTGGGATCATCATTTGCGAAGGCCCTATAAACTCTAAACCCTAGATGATCTACGAATTGCTATAGGAATCCAATCCCCGATTCCACCAGAAAGTCCAATATCCCTTAATTAGGGAATGTACCTTGAATCATATTAGGAATCCCTGATATGACTCAAGGTATGTTCCCTAATTGAGGGATATTGGACCTTTTGGGCCTTACAGCAAACCAGTAAGTAAGCCGCTAAAACCTCAAAAGTCACGTAGGTCCCCCGCACTGGTTCTGTAACGACATCACGCTTAACACCTAAACCCTAAAACCTCCAGGGTGGTGCCCCCTTGTTACATACCTACACTGAAAATTCATATATGTGTAATTTGTAGGACTTGTAGCCATTCTTATTCCCGTTACAATTCATTTAAAAGCCCACTTATAACTAAAGGGCTTCACAGTGTAAGTCCATACAGATTCTAAGCCTTTGGTGGGTAACCTTCTGAGGCCTCGTCAAAGCTCCCGAATGCAAACCCTGCAAAATCTAGCTGTGTAACTAACCCTAGGGACCAGTTACCCATTTCGTGGGTTCTGGGTTCTAGATATCCCATAATTACATAGCCCAGTAATCTACTATTTAGGTAGCTGGACGCCCTAGGGCCCTACAGTACCTAACAGAACGTACAGGTACCAGAATTCCATTTGCAAAGACCCCCGGCTTTCATGTGCACATGGCTTTCTCGAGGTAACCGTCATCCCGCCCAAGCTCTTTTTTTTTGCAGGAAGAAAAATGGATTACTTTAGGTCACCCCTACGCATAAACCCCAAACCCTAAACCCTCAGCCCTAAACCCTAACCCCCTGAACCCTGAACCCTCAACCCCAAGCCCATAAACCCAAACCCCTAAACCTTGAACTCCAAACCCCAAACCTTCAACCTTAGACCCTAAACCCAAGAACTCACACAAAAAGCCCAAGACCTTGCCTGCCAGAGGTCTATCAGGCCTTTAGCCCCGATCCTTAGTTGAAAAGACTGTGGCTTGAGGGAGATGTTGGCGTGAAGGGTTCAGGGTTAAAGGGTTCAGCTATATAGGGTTTGGGATGACATGTGTAGGATTTAGGGTTTAGGGTTTGGGGTTTACGGAAAGTTTAGGGTTGACGGGATTAGGGTTGAAAAGCTTAGGGTTTGGGGTCAACTGGTTTAGGCTTAGAGGGTGTAAGTTTGGCTCACACTTTGCACGTAGAAGCCCGAAACCCTAAACCCCAAACCCTAAATACTAGGCTCATAGCAACCTCCGTCAGAACCCCACCATGAGGGATGACAAACCTTAGCCCTCAATGGAAATTCTCTCACATTCATCCGTCCATTGGAGGTGTGTGTGTGTGTGTGTGTGTGTGTGTGTGTGTGGGTTTGTGCGTAGCTTGTTGTTTTCAACTCCATGTATATAACTAGAAGACATCTACCCAATCGCACCTATGTAGTTCTCGGCAGGGCTTGCTATACATTCTCTCAGTCAAGGCCCTGAACCCTAAACCCCTAAACTAAACCCATAGGGTACTCTCCAACATGAACTTCACTAGCGCCCTTGGGTAGGACTCACTGGCACCTTCGGCTGAACCCTCTAGGCTCTAAACATCTCTAACCTCCCCAAATCATCAGCCACTACTTCCAAAGCCCTTCGCCCACATCTTTTCAGAAGCCCATCTACGTAGGACCATCGGAAACATTATGCACGAAAGCTCGAGACCTGTTCTGTTCCCTGAAGACACAACCACACGTTGGGGTCTTGCTCAAAATTAGGATCTCAGTAAGCTCCCCGAATCATAGAATTCAGCGGCGCAACGACCTTCAGGCGGATGAAGCTTGAGAGAGGGTACATGGACCCTTAGGGTTTAAGGGTTTAGGATTTAGGGAGGGTACCTAGACCCTTGACCCATAGACCTGAAATCCAACAACTTTAAAGGAGGCAGTGTCGAAGTGCTCCGTCCCTTGAGCAATATGGTAGACGGTAAAACTCAAGTCCTCGACAATAGCCCTTATGAATCCAAGAAGCCAGGTGATAGCTATCCAGGGTGGCAGCTTCTGACAAAGAATTCCGGCTGTTTAAGTTTAGGAATTTAGGAATTTGGTTGTTGGGCTTGATGCTGAAGAGGTTTATGTTCATGAGCTTTGGGTGGGGGAGTGGGCGGGGAGAAGGTTGGGAGTTCACAGGTTCGGGAGTTAGGGTTTGGCAGCTTTGCTGTGGGTTCCCTAAACCCTAAACCCTAAACCCTAAACCGTAGCACCGTGTGACCCAGCTACGGGCCCTACCCCTGAACCCTAGGGCTGGAAAGTTGGTGCCTAGGAGAGGCTTAACAACACTGTTACTCTTCCCAATAAAAACCGTGGCAGTGCGACAATCCCAGAAAGCCCAATATCCCTTCATTAGGGAATATGGGGTTTAGGTTTTAGGGTTTTAGGGATCACGGCCCCTATCCCTTTATTAGGGAATATACCCTCGATGATACTAGAATCCCTCATATAACGTACGGTATATTCCCTAATCAATGGATGTCGGGCTTTCGCAACCCTAAACCCTAAAGTTTATAAACCCTAAACCCTGAACCCTAAACCCTAAACCCTACACACCCATCTATGTAGGGCCCCTGGGGCAGGGGTCCATGCGAGCTAGGGGCCAAGGGCTTGGAGGTTTGGGATTCCCTAAGGGTCCATGTACCCAATAATTGGGTACTTGGGAGTTGGATAGTAGCAATTATACTACAGGTTTCGGGTAAGTATATGATTAATAGGTACTTGGACCCTTAGGGATTCAGATTTTGGACAAACAATGGGGTACGCCGAAGTTTTGTTTCTGCCTGGAAGGATTGCAGTAACAAAGGCGACGCAGGCGCAAAGCACTGAGCAAGATCCAGGAAGACCATTTTCCTAAACCCAAAACCCTAAACCTTAAACCTTGGGTACTGCAACCCCTCAATAACAGTTGGATACTAAGGTTATATATAGCCCTTAATAGGACCCCTAATATAGACTGTTACTGGGGGTTGGCAGTACCCAACTTAAACCCTAAAACTTGTGCTGCCGCAACCAGCTTACGTGGACCAGCTGCTTCGTGCTGAGCTCACCTTCCACCTCGTGCATGCCCCTTCCAGCGCTGACCAGCGTAGACGTCACCCGGGGTTTAGGGTATATAGGGCTTGGGGCTTAGGGTTTAGGGATCACCCGGGATATAGGGTAAAGGGCTTAGGGTTCAGGGTCCTGCAACAGGCACACCCACCAACAATAAGCACAAGGAATTCTGATAATCATGCTTGAATCGTCTATCTTCCTTTGGGGCCAGGGGATGACATCATTATGTGCAGCTGCAAATGCGGTACCCCGTATAGACCCACTCTTAATTGACAGCCCTAAACCTTACACGCTGAACCTCAAGCCAAAACCCCAAACCCTAAAACCTAAGCCCCCGGGGTCCAAGTACCTGATAATCCTATACTTGCCCCAAACCTGTATTACAAGTAGTATTACCCAAAACCCAAGACCTCATTTCCTACATACTACACCCCACATCTTCAACTGGCAAAATGCGTGAAAGCATCTTCCCAAGGTTCCCAAGGTCAAAGCGAAGGCAACAACAGGTGTTTCTTCAAACTGGTCATTTTATCTAGCAAAAAAAATTGCGCTCAGTAAGTTCAAGAATTGTTGTTTCTATGTGGAAAAAGTTCTTTTGGACACTTGAAAACCTGAAAACTACTCAGCTCATTTTATTCTGCATGATTACTTCCCTGGGGCACCAATATAGCCAAACAGCACATGGAGGATTTGAAATTTTGTTTGCAGGGATGGCGGCAAGGGCGTGTGCCCACAAAAGATAAGATTCAACAACTCTGACGGCAAGTGGAATGAGACATGCTCTGCATCACAAACAGCGCACTGATCAAACATTTTGGGGAACATCGCAATAAAATATGAACATGGCGGCATGATCACAATCATCATGAGTTTTCACTTGAAGCATGGATGGCAATACATGTCCGATGGAAACTTGGATGGCTGTTGTTCACAGCAAAATGGGTAAAGAAATATCCATCCAAAATTTTGATGAGAGAACGCTGCTTGCAAAACTGCTGCGCACTCAAAACTTGCTGGAAGATAACCTTTGGTGGCAAAATCCCACCATGCCTCCACCTGCATGTTTTCCCGAACCCCCCCCCCCAACATGACTGTTAGAATTTAGTGCACTTGCCATGGCTGAGCAAACCGCACACACACTTGCATCAACTTGCGTCAAAGCGAAAGCCAAAGCATTGCACATCTCATTCTTTTTCACGTTCATCGCCGAACATGTTCAGATGCTCACTCCCCTTGAGCAGGATTCAGCACATCCCTTGCGCTGAGTGGCCGTCAAACAGACTCAACTGTGCCGCTGCTGTGCCCACACTTAAGAGGCCTCTGAACTTGCGCAGGCCTTCATGCCTTCCAAGCACTTCTCGTATCTGGCAGTGTCTTTGCCGATAGCCTTCAGATATTCAATCAAACCCTCATAGCGATCTTCATCACCTTTGAGGCATACTGACTTCCTCATCCCATAAATGAGGACTGCACTGTGGCTTCTTTCAAAGACAACGTAACCAGCTGGAACGTAAAGAACATCCCACTGCTTCACATGGAAATAATACAAGGAGCACTCTTTAGACAACTCCGCAAGAGCAGATGCATCCATCCCGAACATGGAGTCGAAGGTATCCTCCGTCACTTGCTGGCCTTGCTTCTTGAGATGAGCTAGCAAGCTCTTGATCTCGATAGCGAACACGCTAACCTCGCCTGCTGCCAACACCTTGATCATGGCCAAACCTTGGGGAGTCGGCGCCACAAAGCTTGCCTGAGGAACATACCCAAACAACCATATTTCTTTCAACATTTGCTCATCCTGGTCGCTGAGCTTGGCAACCTTCTTGTCAAGCTGCAGGGCAGACATCAGCTTCCTGACCAGCAACTCTGTCTCCTCCTTTCCGGCCTTGCTGCGCATATTTGTCTGACCCTTGCCGGCTGCCTTGGTCGTTGACTGGGACTTGTACTGCCCACCATATGCGCTGAGGGCCATCTGCACCTTGGGCAGGTTTGCCCACTCTTGCTCAACCATGGAGGATTTGACAAGCGCAAGCCTGGAATGATCGAATGCGAGGTCGGCCTCCTTCATCTTGTCATCGGTGATGATGGGAGTCTGAAGCAATTTGGGCTTAAGTTGGGCATGGTCAATGGCGAACAATCCTGTCACCTCAACTGTCATCTTCTGCACGTTTTGAGCAGCCTTCTTCGCCATAGCCTTGGCTTTTGCCACTGCTTCCTTTTCTTTCCGCTCTTGCTCCTTCTTCTGAATGCGCAAACTCTCGCGTTCAATGTTTTCCAGGTGCCCAGTGACCTTTGATGCTGCTTTTGCAACACTTTCCCGCAACTGGTTGGCTGTGCCAAGGAACTTCTTGCTGGCTGTCTTGTGCTCATTCAATGCATCCACAGTTCCAAGCTGCAGAAGTTTGTGGCACCGTCCAGCCAAGTCAACCCAAGAGCGAAGACTAGATACATCCTGCACCGGAATGAAGGCAGCACCCTTCACTGCGCAAGCCTGTTGCAGAAGGCCGTTCACACGCTCAGTCAAGCCCAATGCCTTTGGATTCTTGACATCTGGCTCCTGCTTCGGCGGAACTGCAGCACTGCTGGTATCAACAGGTTGAGCACTGGCATCTCCCGCGGCAGCTTGTTCAAGGCCTGAGCTAACAATTGCAACACAAGGCAAATACAGAAATCATCTAGCGAATCTAGCTTGTGAGTATTGAATCGTATTGAACAGCAACAGAAGAAGAAACTACAAATGTACTTGTCAGTGCTGAGTGACTGGCTTTGTTGGCAGACTCCCATTTATCCAGTGCTTCTTCGGTCTCCAGCAGCCAAACTTCAGCACAGCTTTTGCGCATCACACATGTGTCGAGGAAAGTCTGACCTGCCTGGCTCAACCCTGTGTTGCTAGAGGCAACACGGATGGCATCAGCAGCTTTGTTTAAAGCTGCCTGCATCTGCTCTTTCACACGGGCAAGCTGGCTAGTCTCCTTTTCATGCAGAGTGGGCAAAGCGTTGGCCAGATCGATCTTCTTGGCCTTCTTCTTCTTGTCTGCATCTGCAGGATCCAGCTCAATGGTGGGTTCCCCGGCGTTTGACATCTGAAGCTGAGAGGCGGCTGCGCTCTTTTGCCCAGCATCCTTGCCACGCAAGAAGGAGTGGGTGTGCGAGGCAGCATTGGTTGCGGCGAACTGCTTCAAAGCATCAACATCGGCTGGCTTGAGATTCTTCATTGGCTTAGAGCTTTCAGCCACTGACTGCGAAACTCGCTTGGTGAAATCACGAATCTTTTGCCGCCTTTTCGGAAGCCATAAGGTATCATCACTATCCACCTCGCTCAATGTTCGGGTCACTCTGGTACTCCTGCCATTTGTCAAGAATGGCTTTTGCTTCCCAACCTGCCGCTGTCTTCTCATCAGAGAAGTCTTGGAACGTGTACTCCTCACAAAGCTCACGATGCTTCTGGGAAGTCTCTACAGAGTAGGTCTTCAGCCACTGGGTGAAGTCTATCAGCTTCTTTCGAAACCTTCCAGGAGGATTGTCAGCTTCAAATTCACGGACTGCCTTCGCCGCCTGGACTGGGTCTGCAAGGACCTTCTCCACCTCTGACTTCCTCCCTACCTTCTCTGCTTGATAAAGGATCGCATCTATGACTTTCTTGTGATCACCGCAGGATTTGTGCTTGCCGGACTTTTTGTTTGGGCAATCTGAAATGTAACACATTTTCTCTTCTTTGCTTTTGCTGCCTGCTTTGGCCTTGGATTTTCCTTTGATTGCAGAAGACTTTGCACTGCTGCCACCAAGGGAAACTCGGCCTTTCTTCTTGGCTGGCTCATCATCACAAGTGTCACTATCATTGGCATCAGCGGAGTCTGAAGCTTCAACCTCGTCAAAACCGAAATCGTCAGCCATCACAATTCAGATAGCTGATGCTCCCCACGGATAAAAAGAGCTGCTCAAACATAACACACTGCGAAATCCACTCCTGCATGATCTGTCTGCTGATGTTTTGCTCAAAATCCATTTGGAAAACACTTGCACAAACGCTTTGCTCTGCTGTCTCAAAACAACTCTGCGCTGCTGGGCTTGACCTGTCAAAGCAATGAACCATGCAATCAAGGTTGAGCACAGCTGGGTTCGTTTTCTTGCAACAAGATCAAACATAGCTTCTAGTCTTCTCGTAACAGAACAGTGTAGAAACAACATGACTGAACAGAAGAGCTCACATGTTTTTGGGCAGCTCAAGGACAAACTGGCAACCCAGGAAATGCATTTCAGACATGAAACTCTGCACCACCACATGATCCTGCTTCACACATTTTTCTGTGTCTGCTTCCAAGGCTTTCAAACTTCATGATGCGCAGCGAGGGCAGCAAAGCACATACACAGTGCATGTGGAAAGCGCAATGCGTCTGCTTATGAAGGGCTGGCGTTGCTGGCAAAATTGCTGGCTGTCAAAAACCAGACACACACACAGATGCATTGGATTTGGGCGACCTTGCTGAAAACCTCGGATTGGCATCAGACCTCAGCACCATGATCATCCTCTACGCGGTCAACAAACTCCCAGGACAGGGAACTGACGGAAGGAAACATTTCCAGCCGGTTGTCACTCTGAAAGCTATGCACTGCTCTTGTAGCATGACTGGGGTTGGCGAGAAGCTGTATCACCTCCGCTTTTTGGCCAGCCTTGCCTGCTTGCTTGAGCATGGCATCTAGCACTTTCTTGTGATCGGCACAGGCGGTGTAACTGCTGGCTGCTTTATTCGGGCAATCAGAAATGCAACACTTTTTCTCTGCCTGGCTCTTGCGGCCTGCTACTTTGGCCTTGCATTTTCCCTCTCCTGTTGCAGAGTAATCACTGCTGGCAGTGAGGGAGGTAGAGTGAGTCATGTGAGGATCATAGCCGTTGTCACGCACATCATGGTCTGGCGAAGCTAGAACTTCGTCTTCAAAAGCAGCCCTATCAGCCATCACGATGCACAGGATAGCTGGTGTTCCCCACTGAAAGAACTGCTCAAAAATAACACACTGCGAAATCCACTCCTGCATGATCTGTCTGCTGATGTTTTGCTCAAAATCCATTTGGAAAACACTTGCACAAACGCTTTGCTCTGCTGTCTCAAAACAACTCTGCGCTGCTGGGCTTGACCTGTCAAAGCAATGAACCATGCAATCAAGGTTGAGCACAGCTGGGTTCGTTTTCTTGCAACAAGATCAAACATAGCTTCTAGTCTTCTCGTAACAGAACAGTGTAGAAACAACATGACTGAACAGAAGAGCTCACATGTTTTTGGGCAGCTCAAGGACAAACTGGCAACCCAAGACATGCGTTTGTGACGTGTAACGTGACCCCACACTGCTGACTGCTGCCACCACCACATGAACTACAGATGCTCCACAAACTTTTCTTCTGGCTCCAAGAGTCGCCAAAACTCCAAGGCTCGTGAATTAGATCTGGCTATGTGGCAGGCTGGGCAAGCAAGCGCAACAAATCTGTGGGTGAAAGGCTGGCATTGCTGGCTGTCAAAACAACCACGCACAAAAACAAAGCCTGGCATTGGGCAAGGCTTTTCGACATCCTCAGCGCATGAGTTCTCACTCAAAATCGTCATCGCTCTCAGCTTGCTCAGGAAGCTCCCAAGACAATGAAGCTCGCAATGGGCAAGCTTGCCACACTGGCACAGTGTTGCTGAGCACATACCACATGAACGCAGATAGGACTGGTAGATTCACACCACGGCCGCTGAGGTTCTTCAACTGATGGATCTTCAAGCCCTGAAGTATGGGCTTCAACGGTGAAATCGGGTTGTCAGCTGAGCTTGCGCTGAAGAGGTGCAAACCCTGGGCACCAAAATGCTCCAACGCTGTCGCCAATTTCATGCCACCTTGTCTTGGTGCAGAAACGATGGTGCCATGAGTCAACATGCATGGCCAATGCACACCAGCCATCCTTCGCGCTTCAAGGTGATGATCTGTATCAAACACAAAATGCCCACTTGGGCTCTCAAGCTCATGTCGGTGCTGCAAGTATTTTGCAAGGCGCTGCTGCTGACCAGGACTCAAAAGGCTGGCAAGGCACTGCTCATCAGACAAAGTTCTGAACTTCTCTGCCGTGATGAAATTTTTCTGCTGGGCGGCCAGCTGCACATACTCTTCAAGCCGCTCTGACACTGACGCTGAGAAAAGCGAGTCACCTGACGAAGCGCAATCCCTGCCAAACTTGGCCCAGAAATCTTGCTCCCAGTTTTCTGATGGGCCAATCCATGCCAGGGTACTCTTGTTGATGCAAGCCGCGAAGACCCGAGATCTGGAGACTGGGTAGCCCAATGCAAGTGGGGAGCACTTGAAATGGAAGATCCAGCGCGTACTCTCCAAAGGCGCCAGCTTTACAGAGGCTGGATACCGAGCTGTACACTCTACAAAGGCGACGTCCTCGGCACACTGCTCGGCTCTAACTTTGCGTTCTGTGATCCAGACAGCGTGCGCTAGCTCTGAGCTGTGAGCAAAGCGCTGCTGGCTGCCCATTGTCGACCAGCCGTCGCAAGTAACCCCCCCGAAGGAGGCTGCCCATGGGCGATGAAGACCTGGTCTGGTCGCAGGCACATTCCCATCCTCGCCTCGGTTTCCATCCTCTGCAAGGTTCTCATGACCAGACCTGGGTTGGCCATCTGCTTCTTCAAGTGTGCCCCCTGCACACTTGCGCCTCTTCTTAACCAAGACCTTGCTGTTCCTGATCCACGCAGCTGTTGGGCAAACATGGCACTTGCCTCTGTGCACAAGACATGTCTGCTTCAAGTTGCAATCCAAAGCCCACGCACGATTGCGGAGCAGCCACTGCAGAATGTCACTGTAAGCATCTGAAGCTTCTTGCTGGGTGCAATTGTCTGAGGGCACCGCAGCTCGCAAGTACTCAGCTGCACTTGTGTGACAATGATCAACAATGTCTTCAAACAAGCGCATGCGGCTTTGGAAGTGACCCTTCGAAAGAGCCATCAGAACCTTCTGCGGGACTGCTCCGATGTCACAAACACGGCTGAAGATGAAGGGCTGCTGAGCAAAGTCCCAACCATTCCTAGTCTCAAGCGCTCGTAAGACACAACTTAACGCTTCAATCTCACTGCCATAACCAGAGTAATCAGAAGAGACAACAACCGTGGATAGCAGCATTGACTGCAGCCTGCTGCATGCAGCAGGCTCTGACAGCGCTTCGGCAACACGCTGAGGCCACTGGAACAAACTTTGCACTGACTCCACAAAAGGCTCAGACACAACACTAGCTGCATCAGTGGCAGAAGGACATAACCTGTCTGTCTCTCCTTCACATGCCATGGCCACGACTCTAACCTCAAGCACACATCTGTTGCCGCAGTCAGCACTGATTAATGATAAACCCTGACCTGGAAAATGTATAGGGCCTACACAAAAGCTGGAACATTGGGGCTGGACTAAGACTAAGGCACCAGGGTGGATTAGGGCTGGGAACTACCATTGTTTTGATGCGCCCTACCTTCTCAGCAAGAAGCTCTAAGGGCTGCAGAGACTGCTTCAAATATCAAAGCTTCAACAGTAATTGACTCATTTCCTACAGGACACAAATGCGCAGCAGTGTACAGGTGAGGAAAAAGATGTGCACACACACACAACACAGGTCCTGCCTTGACTTATAGATTTGGAAGTCTTAGCAACCTTGATAATGAAGATGAAGTCTCAAAACTCTAAGGTAATAGTAGTGGGGCCCCTCATACATTGTAAAGCACATGTTGCCTTATGTTGCTGTTCTTATTTTGACTGGCACTTGAACCAGTCTTGTTCTCTTGCTTTTGAAAATGAGCAAACAATACAAACGAAATACACACTTACGATGATACTCTGTGTCTCAAGAACAACCATGTCAGTCTTGACACACAAGAACACACACTGAAGCACATTATTGTTCTTCTTGGGCTTCAGACCCCTGCTTGCATCTCAACATGAGTTAGCTTGCCGGCTTTGGCGCCTGGGGCCCCCAGCTTTTCCTAGCTAAATGAACATCAACAGCTATTTGGCATACTTGGGGAGGGGACTGAGGGGACTAGGTACAAAGTAAAGGTAAAGGCTTTGTCCCTGAGCTGGGTCTGGTCTTGTAGCCTGTAGTACAAGCTGAAGGGAAAGGATTGGCCCCTGGGCCATGGTGAGCCTGGTGGAAGGCTGGGTCTGGTCCCTGTAGTACAATTAAAAGGAAAAGCCTTGGACTTTAGGTGTTTAAGCCAGGAAACGGTGGGAAACGCAGCAGCCAACCACCAAAAACACGAAAATCACGAAAATCACAAAAAACAAATTAAAAAAAAAACAAAAACCTTTTGATGACAAGCAAAATCTTATAAAAATGTCTGATTCATAGCAAATTGGCTGTCAACAAGCCATATGGGGTCTGGTCGGGTCAATCAGGGGGCCGAATTCCGGGGAACTCCGGGGAACTTCGGGGAACTCCGGGGAGCCCCTGGAAAGCGGGTTTTTTTAGCCTTTTGAGCCCCAAAACATCCCTGCAAACGCCGTTTTGCTGGAGACTCCAGCCAGGGAAAACCATGCATCCATCAGCCTCGTTTCCAAGTGTCTGGGAAGATTTGGGGGGCTGTCGTGTGGCGGCAATGCCTCCATGGCTTGAACACTACAAGCGCCTGCAAAAATGCCTTGGAACCCTTGGGCCCTTAGGATTTCAGGGACTTGGCTGGATCTCGATTTTTAAGGCTCAAATGGTTTCAAGCAGAAAAATTCTGAAAACAATGCATTTTTTTGATTTTTGTGGAGATTCTTGGTTCTCAAGCATTTTCGGAGAATTCTGTGCAATTTGGATTTCTCTTGGTCACTGGAAGCCTCCGCAATCCACTTTAATGAAAACCACAATGGCCAGCTCTGCAAGCAACCAAGAA